TCCTTTAAAATCCAAATCTAGCCATTTCTTCTCTCTTCACTTCCTCCCACTCTCCGTCAGGTAAAATCACTTTCTTCCCTCATTCTTATTTACCTCCACTTTTCTCTCGTTTGTGATGTCTCATTCTCTCTCTGTTGTTTCTGTTGTTGGGTGTTTTTCAGATAGAGAGAAAAGGAAAGTGCAATGGCGGTCAGTTCTAGAGGGAGAATGACAGAGTTTGGGATTGTTTCAAAGAAGTGGAAAGAGAGAGAAATAAGCCCAGAAAGAAACAAAGTCTGGATTGAACCCAAGCCTCACACCACCGCCAACAGCAGCAAGTCTTCCAATACTGAAAGAAAAGTTGCTGTTGTTTACTATTTGTCTAGAAATGGTCAGCTTGAACACCCTCATTTCATGGAAGTCCCTCTCTCTTCTAATGATGGACTCTATCTCAAAGGTGAGAAACTTAAAATCCCAAAAAAAGTAGTTCGTTTTTTCTTTCTGGGTTTTGCCTTTAGGAGGAAGAGAAAAAGAACATCAAACTTTGAAAAATTTTCTTTGTTTCTTCTTTTTTTCAGCTTCTGTTTGGTTTCTAAGAAAATTATGAAGAGCTCAAAGTTTTGAATTTGTTTGACGTTCATTTCTTCCGCCAAGTGGGTACACCCACCTGGCAAAAAGTGAACTTTCTGTTTTCTCGTAAAGAAAACAATGAAAAAAAATTCATCTTCTTTTCAGGGAAAGGTGACTTTTCCTTTTTTTTTTCCCTTGCTTTTCCTATGAAAAGCCTTTCTTCTCTTTTCTTTGTTGATGTGGAGAAAAGTACTGGATTTTCCTACATTTCTTACATTTTTTCACGACAACCAAACGAATTATTATTCTAATACAATTTTACTTAAAAATATCTTTCTTTTTTCAGATGTAATCAACCGCCTAAACCTCCTTCGAGGCAAAGGCATGGCTAGCCTATACTCGTGGTCCTCCAAACGGTAATGCTCCCATTCATTCCCAGCAGTCCGATCAGATTACCACTCCCCTTAACCGTCCGATACTAATATTTCATTCTTTTTTTCAAAACTCAGGAGTTACAAAAATGGCTTCGTTTGGCACGACTTGGCAGAGAACGATTTTATTTACCCATCTCATGGCCAAGAATACGTTCTCAAAGGATCGGAGATTCTCGACCACTCGATAGGTCCTCAACCAGTCGAAATTGCGTCCTCTTCTTTTCGATTAACAAAACTGCCAGAGTCTCTGAAGTCAGAGAACGATCATGATCTTCAGTTAGCCAGACGGCGGAGGAATCAGTCTTGGAGTTCTATCGACCTCCATGAGTACAAAGTTTATAAGTCCGATTCAAGCTCCGAGTCAACTCGGAGACTCGCTGCCGATGCGTCGACCCAGACTGATGATAAGAGGAGAAGAAGAAAACCGGTTAAGGAACCGGAAATTGAAGAACTGCAAAGTCAAAGTCAAGAGTTGGAGCAGAATCAGACTACGGAGCTATGTAGGGAAGAGATTTCGCCTCCACCGTCGGATTCGAGTCCCGAGACTCTGGAATCGTTGATGAAAGCTGATGGACGGCTGAGGTTGTGCAATGGTAGTGGAACGAAGAAAACGTGAATCGAACGGCTGAGAGTTGTCCGAGCGGAAGAATGAAGGCGTCCTCTGTACTGATGCAGTTGATATCGTGCGGTTCGATCTCGTTTAAGGATTGTGGACCCAGCTCGGAGAGGGATCAGGGGTTCTCCTTGATAGGCCACTATAAGTCAAGGTTGCCACGCGGTGCAGCAAATTGCGGCCAGGTGGGGAAGGAAGCAGGGATTGAGAGGGAAGTTGGTAGCTTCTCAAGGGTAAGATTGGAAGATAAAGAGTATTTCAGCGGGAGCTTGATTGAGACTAAGAAAGAGGAGGTTCCTGCCTTGACGAGATCTTCTTCTTACAATGCCGATAGGTACTACCCTTAATGCACAAATTCGTTAAGCATTTTAATTCATACTTTCGCTTCCATTATAGCTATAAAATCTTAACAAAAGACTTCGTAATACAATTAAGTTACATATGTTTGACTCGGATTAGTTTCGGCTATTATATTTATTAACTGCATATTAAATTATAGATTCTAATTCATAATTACTACCTTTATTGTTGTGTAAGGAAATAGTTGTAATGATTAGATAAACCAAATAGACTTATACATCTCCTGAAAACTTGACAAAGACTAAAGAAGCATTGATGGTGATATGAACTGTTCTTTACCTGGAAAGCAAGCCAAGCTGGTTGTTACCTTACCCTTTTCTTGGGATTTTAAGTTCAGACAGACTATTGATTCTGAACGAGGCCCTTCTGGCCTGTTTTGGGTCTTGAATGTAAGGTTCGTACGGGGTGATTTTTGGCAGAAGGCCAGCTAAAGCTATTCATATTGGTTGCACGGATATAATCAATTGTTCCTGTACTGGAGTGCATGTCTTCTGTATCCGTTCTTTTTCATCATCTCTTTCTAGCTATCGGCTTCTATCCATTTAATAACTCATCATATTAAATGCTGGCCGTCCCGGAATTAAAATCATGTAGTTGGGATTTAATGAAATGAAATCTATAGGCAACTTATGCAATAAATTACTAGACTGCTTTAGCACTAGGGTTGAAGTGGGGACCCGAGAAAAGTAAGCTTTTAAGCTTATAATTTGATTAAAGAAAGGCTCAAACATTAATTCTGATTAAGATTGTTGACTTCCTTAAGATTTACTTTTTGCTTGTTATTATGTTCATTTTGATTAATTTTTGTGAACTTTTTAATCACCAGGAGCTCGCAGTTGCAGTTGGCAGAGAAGGAGATAGAGGGAGTGCGTGCAAAGTGCATACCGAGGAAGCCGAAAACTCTGTCAACAAAGAAAGAAAGCAACGTGAACCCGGAAGTCTGTAGTGAAAGTCGAAGCAACAGTCAAATGGGGAGCAAAAGGCACGACGTTTAGAATTGGAAAACTAGGTATGTGAATTTGTAGTAAGGGTTGTAGTTTTGGTAACAAAACAGAGAGCAGTGAAGGGATAATGGAGAAAATATTATAGACAGAAACATGCAAACTACGGCTCGGTGAAGGCCGCACAATGAGAGGGAACAGTGTAGGGTTGGGAATCTTGTGAAAGCTCTTTTTGCTGAAGCGTGTAAATTTTGTCCATTTCCAGTTTGGAGCATTCAGCTTAAGGTCAACTTTTGATGCCTTGGTTTCTGTGTGAGTGGCTAAGTGGGTTCATTTTGTCTTAATTTCGGTGTATTGGCACTAACCTCTAGTAGTTTTAGGCGACCTTTTTGACTAACCTTGGTTTTGACTTTGAAACATGTGAACTGGGATTTCCATCCTAACCTAGGTATTATCATCCGCTTTGGTCTTTGGCTCCATTGTGGGAAAGTTGTGTGTTTTTCATGACTGGCCCGTCATTGAGATTGGAGATGTCAAACTTGGAAGAATGTACATGTACACCAAGCAGGTTCCCAACTTTTGCTTTGCAAATTTGTACTACTCTTTGCCATTGGAGCTTGCATGCAATTCAAGATTTGAAGAGTTAAAAAGGTGTAACATCTGGTATTGAACTGAGTATTTATTTGGTTTAGCAACTCTCCATGTGAAACCATTCTGATGCTTGCAATACATAAAAGTATTAACATTTGGCAGCATTTCACTGAAGATAAATACAGTAATAATAAAGGAGGAAGGCCATTAACAGAGAAGATTAAAAAAATGAAGAAAAGAAAAGAGAACTCGTAAAAGATGAAAGAAAAACCAATGCTTTGTCATTTGTCAACGTTCTGCATAAAGGAAGAACCCATGGCCAGTTTATCTTGGGACAAACCTGAAAGCAGAGAGGAGGTAAGCTTAATGCTAAAAAGCCCTGTTAGCTAGATTGGTGGCAAGCTTTCAAGAGAGAGAGAAGAAAAACACTAAAACGAGAGAGTGGATGGAGAGGGATGAGATCTCTGAGATTCTGCAGGCCTATAAGCTTTCATGTATTCTTCCTTGACATAGCATTAAGGTGCCCTTTAATCTTACCATCGACAGACTCTCCATTTAATTTTGAGAAAGGGGAGGAGCCAAATCCCCATATGGGCTGGCCTACAATAATTTCGATAGGCAAGCAACCCATTACACTCCACCCACTATATCAGGGAGAATCACAGATATGATATTGGGCTGTCCCTTCCACTCAGACCCCTTGAAAGAATAAGAATGCAGAGTCACCAATGTCAGTTACTCACCTTGCTTTTGGGTTCCAAGTTTACCTTGAATTTGACCGGGTGGGTGAAACTTGAAAGAAAAAGAAAAAAACATGGGTAGGGTCAGAAAATTCTGACAGATTAGATAGCTAGGAATTTCTGAAGAGCTTGGTGCAAAGGACTGGGTCTCATGGTGCAGAGCTCCAGGTCCAGGCTAGTTTAGTTAAAACCCAACATCAAGGCTAATAAGCTTTAACAAACCTTACGTAGCCCAAAGGGCCTCGAAAGGAAGCATGACCATGGGCTCTTCTTTCCTTTTCGCATACTTCACTCGGTGAAAGACATGAACAAGAAGAGAAGTAAAACACGAATTTTCCTTATTGCAAAACAGTGCTGGGATTATGCACTGTGATTCTGTTGATTAGAAAAATCAGGCAGCTTGCATAAACATCTGAAGGTTGTATCAATATAAGATAAGAGTTGGTGTTTTTTCACTTAATTTGAACAGAGAACTAACACAAGGAAACAATTTGAAGAGCAAAGTAAGTTCGTTTGCTAAATAGTCGTGCTTGTTGCAATTAAATAAAAGTTGGGAGTACCAAGCTTCTTTCTTTGCGTGTTAAGTCACCTTGTTATGCTAAAGCATATGTACGAGAAAATGACCAAAGTAAACCGAGACGCTGCCTTCGGTTTCCTGACAATCCATGACTGAATTTCACCCCATTTACCATATCAAGAGCCAAATTAAACCAGATGGCATTTTAGTCATTTGAATTACAAATTGGCCTTCCAATTCCCATGTATATAAAGTCCAAGGCATGTAAAAATTTGTTTATACAAGTTTTTTTTCTCTCGATTTTGAGGGAAACCTCCAAAAGCTTAACATAGAAAACCTCTCTTTCTTACGAAAAATCTAAGCATGTTTTAGTAGTAGTAGTTATCAAGAAAGAGAAGATATATATATAGGAAAAAAGATTGTCTCTACCAAATTCCAATGCCCATGTCTCTTGTTTCTGTTGCCACATTGTCTTAAAACAAGCACTTTCAAAAGTTCCTTGCTTCCCTGTAGATTTCTCATCAGGTAAACATGAATACTGTATAGCTTCTCTTCTCTTTTCACATCCAATTTCATCAAAGTTTCTCCTTTTCTTGCATGCTTTCGAAACCATTAACACAAAGCCAGTGTGTTTCTTATATGTATAGTTACTGCATGTTGCTTATCACTATTCCTTTCATGATCTTTTTTTTTCTCTGTCTTATGGTTTATGATAGATATATGCTCTTATGATTAATGGGTTTTGGTGTTTTTGATGAATTCTAATATAGTTATTGTAATTCATTCTTGTTTTCTTTAAGTTAGTGGGTTTTGTTTTTGGATTCAATTGGGTGTCGTTTTTGGGCTGATGGGTCCTGTAAGAGGGTTAAAAAAGAGAAGGAAGATAGAGAAGAAACCCGAGGAAAATGCTTCTGCTTCTGGTTCTTCAGAGAAGGAAGGGTCTTTTGATTGCTGGGATGAGCTTTCCAAGAGGATGAATGGTATGTTTCTTTTTAACAATCGTATTGCTTCACTGTATCAAACTCTTGACTTTTGTTCTGTTTTTATTATCTTTATTTTGAACTGTTCTTTTTGCTTGTGGTATGTTGATATTTGCTCTAGTTGATCAGTCATGGCACGGAAGATATATAAATTTCTATTAGCAGTTGACAGCTTTTCAATTCATGGGTGGAGTTTAATTTTGGCAAATTTGACTGGCTTTACGATTTCATCCTACTGGAGTTATGTGTTGATACATAGAAAATGCATCTGGGAACATAAAAGCAGGATCCCTAATCTGACTTTTAAGTCGTTCTTTTTACCTAACATTCTGGTTTTGTTATGTTATTGAATTGGGAAAATGATAAAATGATCTTTTTTCAATATTATGATTTATAGTAACTAAAAACGTAGTAAAATACAAGGAAATAAGATTATATTGGTTTTTGGACAATGCTGTTGCTTATATATTCTCACTGCTTTACAGGAAAAACCAGCCTTAGCTCTGTTTGAATATGATAAATGTTTGATGCTCTGAATGCTTAAGTTGTTTTAAATTACCTATTGCTGTTGAAAAACTTATTCTTGTCTTGCCTTCGAAGTTGTGAACTGGTTTACTTTAAGCAAGGGTTTATGTAGAAAATTAAGGGGGACTCTGCTAGTGACAGTGAAATTGGAGATAAAGGGGCTGGTCACTGTAGATAACTTTTTTTTTTGGGTGCAAGTAATTGTAGATCATGTGAGTATACATCTGTAAGTTGGGAGTATTAGGCATGTAGATGAGAAAAGATCCTTTTCATTCTTCTTCCTCATCCTTTCATTGATTAAATTATTTTTGGTTCCTAGTCTGCTTCAGCTGGAACTTATGAGACTTTTCAGGCCTTGTTGTGCAAAGATAAGTAGCATTGATTTTAGTTGTTAATTGTGCTAAAATTAATGGAACTCTGCAGATGCCGCTTAGGAATGGAATTGTCTAATCACATTATCAAGGAAATGATTTGGCACTAGATCACTAGGAAAAATGTTTTCTTTTAATCTATAATCGGAAGGTTTACATTTGCTACTGAGCAGCATCATTCTCTCATCTTGAAGATTTTCCTCTGTTGGTTTATGTTATTGCTGTTGTATGTTAGGTCTTTCAGAATATTGTTTTTTTCTGCTGGAAACATGCCATCAATGATACAAGTAGTGTTTCCTTTTCATGAAAATATTATTTTTCACATTATCTAGTTCTTATTTCTACAGTCACTATATGTCGATTGAAAATGCCAAGGATAAGGTAAATCTGGATCTAATCTCTTGACCATGAAAAGTTACTGATAAAGTCAATCGCATTAGTGATTCATCATGTTAGGCAGGAAATATATTTCCTTCATGTTTTTTAATTCATATTCTGCATTGTGGAGTTCAACACCACAATGCTCTGTTATATCTTCTAATATGTCACTTCTTGATGGAAAATGCTAGTGTTAAAACCTTGAAATATCTGTAGAAGGCAGTAAGAGCAGAAACTGCTGGTGTGAGCAGATGATTTGGACATACATTCTCCTGTAGAAACATATAATATTAGATTGAATTTCATAAAAGTAAAATGTTGCTGTTGAATGTGTAGTATATTCTTTTGGTTTTGGAAGTAAGAAAATTTCATCTCATAGGCAGTAAGTTTAGGTGATTTCTTGGTAACCAAGGAACAGATTACTGCATTCTTGCTTTTGTATACTTCTTCTTTCTTATATTCATTTCCGTTGTTTTCTTTGGCTGTTTCCTTACTGCTGACTTCTATAGGTTGGTTTATCTTGTATTTAGTTGCTGTATATTTTGTGATTTTTGTCTTTTTTATATTGAAACTCAACGCACTGCCAAGACCATATTAGTGTTGGTTACTTAGAATATGTTAACAAATTAAATGGCTGATAAGTGATAATCTTAGGTTTCAGCCAGGATGTTTCATAGGTTGAAAATTGTCGTTAAGCTATGTGCTGAAAGATCTTGTCATTACATTTTTTTAAGCTACAGTTGACAGTTCTGCAGATCTTATTGACTAGTGTTGTCAGCAAACTATAGGCTTTGTCAACTAGGAGAGATTAAGAAAGAAAACGTAAGATAAAAGGTGAAGCAGATCTGGAGAAAGTAACCTTTGCTTGGCAAAGTACTTGTAAATTAAGCTATTGTACTCCCCAACCTACCTAAAGAGTATTCTGACCAAATTCAACATATTATAGGAACAAGGCATAGGAGTTATATCATGTTAAATGCCTTGTTTCCATGAGCCTTCTTTTCATGGGTCCATCGTAGTAAAATGATGAGGGCCACTCTTAATTTACTAACTTATTCCTTTCCTTGCTTAACAAGATGTGAATTATCTTTATGATGATAAGCAATAGTACATTGTATTAATCTTCTCTAGGTGAAACTTCTGGGTCAGTACTAGCAGCTGAAAACCATGCATATGTGGCTGGTTTTTTATCACCCCTTGATTTTTACTGGCCCTAACCAGTAATTGACACAAATCAGATCCAACAGAAGCTGTCACGTTTCAACTTTACATGCAATGTTTGCTTATTTAATGCTCCAAAATAAAGCTGTCACGTTTTTACAAACCAGTAATTATTCATGCACGTGTATAATTCTGACATTAATTTTCACTCGAAAAACCATAAAGAGAGTTGCTATGCTCAAGTCTGCTGTTTACTCAATTGTTTTGTTTCCTATGATTATATTTTGTCCAATCAAAAGGACCACAAAAGTTGTATTTTTATCATCGGTAAGCTAATCCTGATGCTTGAAATAATGTTTGTCAGAGTTACTACTAGTGAAATCCAATGGAGCATCTGTACCAACCTATACGTTGCTTATGTGTAAATAATGCTTTCTTCTTATTTGCCCTTTCTCTCTGTAGGTCTTCAATGCCCATCTAAAGGTCATGATAAGTTCAAATCTGTTTTCAATATTTCCAGAAGAACCTTCAACTACATATGTTCACTTGTGAAAGAAGATATGACGGCCAAGCCAGGAAATTTTACATTTGCAAATGGTAAACCTGTGTCTTTGGAAGATCAAGTAGCTGTAGCTTTGAGAAGGCTGAGCTCTGGTGAATCACTAGTGACAGTTGGTGATTCGTTTGGGCTGCACCACTCAACTGTCTCCCAATTGACCTGGCGCTTTGTGGAGTCTATGGAAGAAAGGGGTCTTCACCACCTGCAATGGCCTTCCACTGAACCAGAAATGACAGAAATAAAGTCCAAATTTGAAAAGATTCAAGGTCTTCCTAATTGCTGTGGTGTGATTGACACTACTCACATTATGATGAGTTTGCCTTCATCAGACCCTGCAAGTAAAGTGTGGCTTGATCATGAGAAGAATCACAGCATGGTCTTGCAGGCAATTGTGGACCCTGAAATGAGGTTCAGGGACATAGTCACTGGGTGGCCAGGTAGAATTGAAGACTGGTTGGTGTTTCAGAGTTCAAATTTCTATAAACTGTGTGAAAAAGGAGAGAGATTGAATGGGAAAAAACTTGAGATCTCTGAAGGATCAGAAATAAGGGAATACATAATTGGGGATTCAGGCTATCCTTTGTTACCCTATCTCATTATACCTTACGAGGGAAAAGAACTACCAGCATTAAGAGCTGAGTTCAATAAAAGGCATTCTGCAACTCGGCTGGTGGCACACAGGGCATTGGCAAGGCTCAAGGAAATGTGGAAGATCATCCAAGGGGTAATGTGGAGACCTGACAAACATAAGTTGCCAAGGATCATCCTGGTTTGCTGCTTGCTTCATAACATTGTTATTGACTTGGAAGATGATGTCCAGGATGAAATGCCTTTGTCTCATGACCATGATTCGGGGTACCACCAACGGAATTGTGGCTTTGTAGACATCAAGGGTGTACACCTGAGAGATAAACTTTCTCTCTACTTGTCAGGGAAATTGCCACCTTAATTGTTTTCCATTTCTGATGCCTATCTGTGTTTCTTTATATGCAAAAGGTTTAAGTAGGATCTTTCGCAGACAAATCGATTAATTGAGGTTGTTTTCTTTTGTTTAATTTACAATTATAAAAGCTAAGATAAGCATTGCGTTTTTATACAAGGCTCCTCATATTATAAAGTGATGGCTGAGACAGCATGCAAGACATTTAGATGTTTCCCATAGTTCATACAATGTGCAGAGGTGATTGGTAGCTTGTGTCCTGTTTCTCTCCTTATATCGTGATGTTTTAAGTGTAAAGTTCAGAATGCTGCTGCCGTGCCAGCAGGAAGAGGGTTCTTCCAGGACAAAAGCAATCAATTACAAAAGGATTGAAGGTGATGGCCTTGACTCTATTGCATGACTGAACACTCAAATTTTCAATAGCAGGATGCTCATCTGGGACTTGTCAGGCACAGCTTTGAACAAAATGGAAAGTGTACAATTATCCGACCTGCCTGATTCTAACCAGCTACCTATGTATGTGTTGACTTGGATCCCACTACAGCCCTCCGCCCTACCAACTGAGCTAAGATGGGGTTGATGAACAAGGTCCAGTATTTGCAATTTGAACCATCAAATCACTTGGGGGTAGAATCGAGGTCTACCATGCACAGTTGGACAAATTCACAGGAGCCAATCAGTCACGTTCAATGGGAACAGAAACAACTGGTTTTCCCAATAACGACATAAACAGAGCTCAGATATATATCTGCACTAAATGTAGAGATTACAAGTTTACAACATAATTCAAAAACTCCCTAAGGTAGACTGCATCACCAGAAGCTCATGCAACATTCCGCTCTACATTTTTAACTTCGATTCTCTACTCTGCCTGTTTTTGGTGCCGTTTGTTACCACCTGCAGAACCAAGGAACAGCAAGAGCTCAATGAGCATTCAGTCAATCGTGATAGAGAAATTGTTTGACTATGATTCAATGAAAGGCCAACCAAGTTATAATTCCTGCATCTGGTAACAAGAAGTTTCAGAAATCAGATGGAACCATCACTTGCCAACTCTTAGCATCTTAAAAGCTACTGGAAGCTAACCATCATGATGATCATTTATTTCTTTTTAATAGGTATCCAGTCAGATTTAAGAGACAGTTACTGCAATTAGCAAGGAGATATTATTGAAGGCACGTCACAGATTATAAATTGGGTTTTGATAAAAGAGTAGAGCAAAAATACCTTCAAAGCTACACACGACAAAACTTGTCCTTGATGGATAATATAAATGTCCTTGATGGATAATATAAATGGGTTCCATAGACTTTCCCCAGGTCCACCAAGAACCCACTTTACTTTCGCTGGAGGGCTGGTAAAATCAAGCATTGGATCGACCTCTACAGCAGATTTTAATTTCTTCCGAGAACCAGGTGTTCCAGATGGCTGAAAACAGAAAAATGCACGACTGGAGACTGTCAACAATTCTCTTTGGATTCTTAGTCTTCAAGTTATTTCTCTTACTCATTGTAATACGCTTTTGCAATTCCCCAGGTGTAGTTATTCTTTTGGCATCTTCTGGGTATTTCCAAACAATTTTATAGGGAAACGTCCCCATCAGAAATGCATTTCCTATGACCAGAATTCTGTAAGGGCAGTAACATAAATTATAACACTGAATTCAACTGTAAGAAAACTTAATAGTTTAACACTACCAATGGCACGCCTGCCTTTTAGTACCTCGCATGCAGCTCCACTTGCTTCCATCTGTGAAAGGTATCTCTCAACAGATCTCACGGAACGAAATCGCTGTCCAGTCCCAGGCCCAATGTAATACTGCAGACAAATTACCATTTCTAATATTCTGAGTTTCAGAAGGAAATGCCATGAAAGTACTTTTAGACAAGTAAGGCTAGCATCAGTCTTTCTGTTATCAACTCAGTTAAAGGTAGAATGATAATTGTATGTCTTCTACTCTCTGCTAGTGTATACAAGTCCATTCTATTAAGCCGTCAAATTAAAAGGAAAAGAAAAGACTTCTGATTGACAGAAAGCAAGAACTGAATGCACACTGAAACAAAACCATAAAAAATATGGATCATTGAGGAGTACCTGTGTACTTTATTTTGGTTGCAATTGCAAAGTTGGGTGTACACAAGGTCAAGGAGTAAAAAGAAAAAGAAGCCTACAAACTTCAAATAAAAATTAAGCATGCAAGAGTACCCTGTCAATTACTCCAGCATATCTAACATTGTCACGGGGCTTTTCCTCAACAATCCAATCATGAAGCAGCATGAGCGGTGAAACACTCCTGAATAAGTGGGGCACAATTTGCTTCTGCAAAGACTACCAGCACAGTTGGTCAGATCAAAATAAGCAAGAATACAACTAATCCTCATGGCAAGAAAAACATGAAAATCCATTCAGCAGTTATAGAACTCACAGAAGTTTCATTGCCAGGTTTCACTCTTGGTGGCCTACGAGTATATTCCATCTCTCCACATAGGTACTCCTGAACAGCTGTGAGGGAACGAAACTGCCGTCCAGACCCAGGTTCATAGTAATACTGCAGAAAATAAGATGGAAAGTTCTCAAAATTCTGTCTTCTAACAAACTTCAATGCATGAACTTCCAAACACAATTATCCCACATTGTAATTATGAACTTTCAGAATGTTCTAAACAGGGCAGTAACATCTCTTCCTCCCTCCCCCACCGCCTAAGGCCCCATGGCCTCAAAAATGGATCAGTGACCAATTTAAATACTGAAACTACATCTAGACATTCCCTTATTTATAAATTATGGAGACTAGGATTCCCAAATTAGAAGATATTATTAAAATTTTCCGGCCACGATGGGAAAATGGATTACAGCCCAAAGATTCCTTGGATTCCATAATTTTTCATCCAAATCAATTGATTAGAAACGCAAAGATCAACCTCCAAACTGAAGCCTCTCAGATAAATACCTCAAAACAAATGCATGCATGCATGCATGCAGATTGCAGGTGCAGTTCATTAACTAAATGAAAAGCAATCCCAGAAAGGAAGAACAAATTGTAAATACAAAAATGAGAATGTAAAAGAAAAAGAAGAGGAGGTGGAAGCAACCTTGTCAACTCGGCCGGGACGGGCTACAGAGTTAACACGCGGCCATTGCTCGACGACCCAACCACGTGGCAACTCGACAGACGATCTGATCATGGATGAGGTGGGCCTGGTGTCCACAATCTGCAGCTGCATTTTACTCGGATCGTGGGCTTCTCGTTCTTTGCCTGCCGGAGGTGGATTCTTCTTCGACGGTGACGATTTGCTCTTCATTGTTCGGAAATGTTTGGAGTTTTTTCTTATTCTTTTTCCGGTGTGGTATCGGACGCTGTGGTCACCGGTCAGTGAAACGGTCCCGTTATTTTATTCTACTTTTGCGGCGGAGCTATAGAGCAGCAGCTCAGTTACCGTCAATGGCTTCTGGAGATTCCAAGGGTTACTGCCCGTGCTTTTTACCTCGAGGAAAACACTAGTTAAAATCTTCTTTTTTCTCTTCTTTTTTAATTCTAGTGAAAAATATAAGTTCATAACTTTTCTAGTAAATTACATATTATACAAATAAAATTCGCATCAATCTAATAAATTATTATATACAGTTATTACATTTTTTAAAAAAAAATTAATTAAATAAATCGAAAGGAATGCCTTTGACATCATAGCTGATGGTCGTATGACATACTTAGGTAGGTCATCCATGAGAGTCATAAGGTAGATAGAAATGTATTTTTAAGTTTGTAGATTTTCAAATCTCGAATTTTTAAGTGTCAATAACATTATATTTATTTTATAATTTTTGTCCTGTATTGAAAAAAGCAATATATAATTAAAAGATATAATATTGAAATATTTTTTTAAACTATTTCAAAATTTAAATAAATTTTTAGTTTTTATTAAATTTAATTAAATTTTTATATTTTTATTTTATATCAAATAAAATATTATTAATTAACTATTATTAATCAAAATATTATTATCATTTTTTATGTCTTATAATATTGATACAGTGATAACGTAAAAAGTGAAATGTCACGTGATAACTTAACATATTATATTATCATCGATTATAATACATTAATATATCACAAATCACATAATATAAAAAAAGATAAATGACAGTGTTGATTAGCAACTGTTAGGTAAATACATAAACTTAATTATATGTAATTAAAAAATAAAAATTTTCTTATAATTTTATATATAATTTAACAAAATTTTTTATTGTTATGCTAACTAAAAAATAATAAGTGAATATTAACGCAACACAGTTATAGTAATAAGAAGTAGAAGGTTACTTACCCACAAGATGGAAATGGTTTTAATAGCTTATTTATTCTTTAATATTATTTTTTGTTAAAAACAAGTTTCAAACGTTGAAAGAATCATGGGACGATGGATAATGTCAACAGCTCGGAAGTGCAAAAGTGTGATTTTGTTCGTTGCAAAAGAAAAAAAATGGACGGTTTCCAACTTTGCTACTTTTCCAGTGACAACAACCAGACTGGACCGCAAAAAAAATGTAAACGCAACGCGGCACGCGCCCTGGTCTACAGCAACAAATGTCAATTGTGGGAAAATTGAAAGTTCTTCTCTTCTCTTCTCTACATGTTCTTTTTAATTATTGTTTTTTTTTTTCCATTTTTTGGTCCTGATTTGGTAGAGAAAGCAGTTACATGCATCCCTCAGTAAAGGCAGCCTGTACTTGACCCTGAACCTCTATTAACTAATTTTCAAAATCTTTGACTACTTCACCAAAAGATTAATATAATTAATAAACAAAATATTCAAGAATAATTGTTTTGAATATATCGCTACGCACGCACGTGGATTAGGAAAGGTCTTCGGATTCATTTGGTTACATACGATGCTAGTTTTTTTTTTTTTTAATCTGATTTTTATTACATAAGTAAAAAAAAAAACTCTTTTAATCACCTAAAAATAATAAAAAAACATATTAAAAAAATAAAAAAAAGAGAGGCTCGGGTGCAACATACGGGTTATAATTTAATTAATGAGAACCGTCAAATATTGCAGGGAGAACACGAGATGCATATGCTTCGCAACAGATGGGAAAGAATAAGTACTCTTCGGTTCCTTATTTTCTTTAATCCTTTTTTAAAAAATATTTTAAAATGAAGACTTTTTTTTTAGATTTTTAATATTGTTTTTTTATATATAATAAATTTTAAACATTTATAAATTTTAAAATAATAAATCAAAATCAAAATTTTATCTTAATTTGTTTGTCCTTTATTCATTTTTTCATCAAATGAATTTAATTTTGACCATTGTTTTTTAAAATATTATATAAAATTAAAATCTAAAAAATATGTTTTGAAAAATTTGAAATTCAAAATTTACGAAGCTTGTTTTTAAAAATTTTATTAAAAAATAATGATCAATATTGAATTTATTTAATACGAAAATTAACCAAAAAGATAAAATGAGATGGAAAACGTAATATTTTATTAAACATTGAACCTCGGAAGCAAGCGAGAGCATTGGATCCCCTAGCAAACCACTCTAGTAAAGAAAGAAAATATTTTATTGAAACTATAAATGATTCAAATCGTCGAATCTTCTTTAGATTTATTATTCTTCAAATCTGAATTATTGAGTTTTTAATCACTATGTTCAAACTCAATCAGTCTAAATTAAAATAAAAAAAGGCATAAAAACAACAAAAATTAAGAAAAAAAAAGATTTGGTCTTATTAAACAACATTATTATTCTTTTGTAGCTTTGATTAAAAGATACTTTGCTGAGTGGAAAAAGATAATTGAAAAATCAATGTTTATGACTATGGGACAAGATTCTAGAGGAAGAAGCTTCTGAAATTTGGTCTTATTTGTTTTCTAGATGATGTAGTTTGAAACCCAGAAATATGGCAAGAAAATTCTACGCATTGGGATTATTATTGTTCAAATCGAAGATTCCAAAATCAAATAAACACTTGTTCAAATTACCTGTTCAAAAAATAAATATTTGTTCAAATAACTACGGCTACTTTGTATTCAACTGATCCCAAAGAAGTCGTTGAGTGGAAAATTGACCATCCCTACACTTGGGGATAATCTTTACTTATTTAATTTTTTATTAATAAAAACATTTTAATATCTTTTCACTGAATTTGCAATTGCTATGTGTTTTTCAGCAGCAAGTTTCATGCTTTTGTTATGTATTTTTAATTGTTTGCCATTAAGAAGAGGCAATTGGAAAACAAAGAACCACGCTGTTTCCTCTAATAATGGTATTAACTCAATAATTGCATTACTCTGCGTACAAAGCGTGTAGGAGCCCTCCTTTTTTAAACATGTTTGACAAAGAAATGGGGAAAGAATATGAAAAAAAAAAAGAATTAAAATAAAATTTATTGCATTTGATTGTTGATCTAATTTGACATCGTGGTATGACGATTACGATTTAGAAATTATAATTAAACATAATTACAATGTTAAGTCATTGACTACTAAATGCTGTTTGAGCAATCAACACTTTTCTTAAGAAAAATACACACAAAATTCCTCTAAAAGCAAATGTGGACGCACTTAGATTCTGCCAACATCAAATTTCCACTCGGAAATTTCAATGTTTGGTAACGAGAATACACAACGGAAATCTTATAGGAATATGATACTACTACTCTTTCCTACTTAATAGATAAGAACTTTCTTGATTCGGACTGTGAAATAACAAAGAACTTTATTTCCAGTTAAATGAAAAGGACCCACGTTAAAAAGAAAGGTTATTGCTAGGAAAGTGAATGCGAGTAAGTAGGAAAGGTGTGAAACTAGGAAAGTCATCCTTGAGCTAAATTGAAGACCGCGTTGAATTTTTTTACTAAATCAGATATCTCACTTCATTGTACTACAACTACTTTCTGCCCACGTTTTCTGTGTCTCCATTTGATCTTGTTCCTTGTTACAGTTGGTTTCGGATTTTGACTGTAGCTAATTCTTTGCTGTTGTGTGGCCTTTTTTAACCCTCATATGAGTCGGTTCAACACCGCCACGCGCCAGTGGAGATGCATAGCCACCAATGACATCAGGAATCAGGAATTCTATTTCCTTGAAAATGCTTATGCCCAAATATGCAACTTTCCACTGATTTCAGTACAAAAGTTAAGATGCTATAAACGTAATCGTGTAATAAATTTAATAGTTTTTAACTTCCCAATTTTTCTGCCAATATTGGGTGGAAAAATCGAAATCGAACACAAACAAATAATATTGACTTCAGGAGCAAGTAATGAGGAAAATTATGATACTCGGGGAAAAGCATGGAACGAGATGAACACGCACGAAAGTTGTGGCAGGGGATAAAAGCAACACTGAGAACACTGTAAAAGTGTCTAGAATTTGTCAGAGAATTAGGAAGAGTCCTGGTAGGGACTTTCTTAACATGCTCCGCTACGCGGTGACGCAAACGTACTGAATGGCGGCTGACATTTCCATTTAATATACCCCTGAAACTTCCGTCGTAATTACAAGAGTACCAACACTCTCTCTTTACTTTCTTAGCCCGCAAGAATCATTGACAATTCTGTCATGTTGACCTTCCCAGATAGGCACACTCTCGCCAGCTGCCTACCTATAAATATAACTCCCAAGTTCTCATTCCTGCCATCCAAAGTTTTCCATTCAGATTTTCAGCAGCAAAAACCTTAAGCGTAAGTTTCCACACTTCAGGGTTTCCCCAAAGTTTCAGACTTTTTTTTTTTTCTAAAAACATGACCATGAAGAGAGGCAGAGATATTGAGGCCATGGACATGGCAAACTGCTTGATGTTGCTATCCAAGGTTGGCCAAACCGACCCATCGATGCATTTCCAGGGTCGTGTCTTCGCATGCAAGACGTGCAACAAAAGATTCTCATCTTTCCAAGCACTCGGAGGGCACAGGGCGAGCCACAAGAAGCCGAGGCTAGGAGGAGGAGATAACCTTTCGGAGATGCCTGCTTCACCCAAGAAGCCAAAGACCCACGAATGTTCAATCTGTGGCCTGGAGTTTGCCATAGGCCAAGCCCTTGGGGGTCACATGAGGAGACATAGGGCTGCCTCAAACGAAGGGTTGGTGACTCGGGATTTGTTGCCAGAGATGAAGAAGTCGAGGGACGCTGAAAGTGATTTGTGCCTGGATCTGAACCTGGCGCCATGGGGAAGTGATTTGGGGTTGAAGGTAGGGAAGGTGGTGCCGGCGCCTGTTGTTCATTGTTTTATATAAGGATCTTTTGGTTGTTGTTCTTGTAAAAAACCTGGTTCATATTTACCCATTTTTTTGTGGGCATTTTTTCTTGACACTTGTTCTTATGAACAGGGTATAGACATAGATGATTTAATTTCTTGATTCTTTTTAGTAGTTAGTTGGAGTTGAACTTTTTGTATACACAGTTGCTCCTCCATTTTTACTATTGAATTTCTTTATTAAAATCCTACATCTTTTCTGGTCCATACACGAGAACATTGTTTTAATTCTGCCATGACAAAAAGACTTCTGAAGAAAAAGTAAAGAAATAAAATTTTTTTAGTTGAGATTAATTGAAAAGATTGACAAAGAAAAAGAACATTGAATATCATCCCCGACCATTAAAGAACATTGAATTGGTGTAAAAGACTCTCTAAAATATCACTAAGATCCATGAACATTAAAAGAAGTGAAGAAATTGGGTTGGTTTGTTTTCCATCTTGCAGATGAATTGATGAGCCAGCAGCATTAGACTTGTTTACTCGGCTTTGGGCTTAAGTCTTCAGAAACATACAAAGAAAATGAAAGAATAAAAGAAAATAGAAGTATATATTTATTCAAAAGATGTTTTTTCCCTAATCCAAATGTGTTTTATCTCTAAAAGTACTTTCCTATTTTTTAAACAGAACCTCAATTTATGGAACATATCTACATCTGTGAATGTCAATATAATTTGCTTTGGTTGTAACTTAATTTTGGACCATATAGTTGTGTTTTATTCTCTTGGTCATAACTTAAATTAGACATTTTGTAACATTAGAGGCATGGACTCGTCAGAGAGTGGAAATCTCAAAGCTTTTCCATTCTTTTCAAGTTTATAATGAATGTATCAACACAAACCTTTAGTATACTACTTTTAAACATATGTAATATTTTTCATATTATATCATTTTAAATAAAATAAAACAAAACAAAAAACGAGATAACATTTTAACAAGTATTCTCGCACACTTTAATTGTCAAGAGTAACTCGAAAAATATATTTTTTTGAACTAATAATTATTCTAGAGTGTCTTGATGAATGAATCAGATTACAAATCGTATTGATACCTATTAAGAGAAATTGTACAAGTCTATGTGCTAGTTCTTGTTAGAGGGGAAAAGAGAAAGTGTGACACAAATTTAGAATGTTGAGTTGTCTGATAATTAGATACACTCTCCTTACCAATTTAAGAAGAGCCAGACGCGTCGTCGGTTCATGGTGAATACTGTCACAGAAGATTATAAATGATCGCCAATGGATTCTTAATCAATGGGTTTCAAAAATCTTGCGGGGAGAACTGTCACCATCTTATTGGCCCACGCAAGCGGCCTTCACTACAGTTAAACCATCCAAAACTCGACACGTGTTGATAGTTTCAATTCCCACCTTAGCACCGGCCGTTCAAGATTCGAAACGCAAGATAATAGAAAGTGACGAAAACTCACCCTTGGATGAAGTTGGTTACAGTCCATCGACGGTCAAGGTCCGTTACTCACAATACACGTGGACTTTAAATATGAAAGTAAACGTGACGTGTGATTAAGCAGTTGTAGACTACGTTTCGATATTCCTTTCAGGAGCAAAGATCAGGTGCTCCTCACACACAATATCAAACTTAGCTCTCTCTTTACTTTCATTTTTTTACTTTTATTT